TTTGAAATATAAATAAAAAATTAACAAACTCCCAAATCCTTCTCTGCAGGTGCCTGTGGAATCTTCTGCCCCGAAAGCAGACTTTCTGCCCCCAAATTTGAGAACCAGCCTGAACTAAAGATGCCACAACAGAGCAGGCAAAATCCCCCCCAGCAGATGCAAGCAGCGTGCCAGGAAATCAGATGCAGCCAGAAAAACGAATTATTTTTTGCATCCTTTTTCTTGGAACCCACTAAAGGCAATTTAAAAAAAATCTGAAATATTCCCTCTTGCTTAAACATTCCCCTCTCCACGTTTAGTCCACCTTCCGGATTCAACCGTACATTTTCACACTGTGTTTTCCACTCACAGAAGCCAAAAACATTTCCACTGGAAATGGGAAGCCTCTAACAAACCAGATTTTGCACTGCGTAGAAACTTCAAACTGCTCACCAGGTTACATACCTGACAATTCTCCACCGCCGTCTTAAAAAAGACATCTAGTAGTAAATTTTGGAGGTCAGGGGTTCGGTCAAACGCTTCTTTGATTTTGCCCAGGAAAACACTGCCCAGGAGATATACAAAAATGGCTATTAAGAAATATTTAAATGAATAAGGTGGAAGGATCAGGATATTATACTGTAGAGTTTGGTTGGGAATCAGTACCCAAACCTGACTTACACAGAAACCAAGAAGTACAATTCTGTACCTACCTAGGAAATTTTACCCTGGATCCAGCAGGACTTACTATCAGGTAAAGACAGAGAGTGCTGCTGTTCCTAGCTTCATATTGCAAATTTTGTATCTAAAATGCATTCCTCTTTAGCGTTCTGGGTCATTTAAATCACTAGAGCTCCTATGATTAACAAATAAGGATTTATTTCAACCAAGGGACAGCCCATATTCCTTGGCGCCAACATGAAATAGAAAAACCTAGAATTTATTCAGGACTATAGCTAGGGAACCCTGCTGCGCTAATTAAAAAAATACTGTATATATTATTACAGAATCTTGTATATTCCTTTCTGGGATTGCTACTGATATAAACATTGTCCAAAGTTAGTGCTGTATGCTTAAGAATATTTTGGCAGCCTTAAGGACTAGAATTTTGAAAGCAGCGATTTTCAGAAAGGGAACTTCTGCCATGTTCTATCTTTGCTTTTCTTTAACTCTTGTGGAATGGCGGCGGCACCGTCTCGACTATACATCCGGAATGTTTGACCGGAGTGGTTACTCTGAGTTGCGCTCAGAGCTTTCACCGCTGAACGTTCATCCTCCAATTGGTTTTCTGTTCCTGGCTCACCTCCGAATGATGCAGCCTCCACGCCACATCAGCGCAATGGCACCATAATTTAAGGTCCAACCAAACTCCTTGGCAGCTTGCCTCAGCAACATGAAGCCCTGCGTGTAGGAAATGATCTTGGAAGCGTAGAGGGCCTACATGAAGGACACCACCAGTTAGAGAACAGCACGCATACATAATACTAACCATGGTGTGTTGTAAACCATACTTTGTAAAGCTGATCCATAACTAAAATAAAGGACTTTGATTCTGACTAACCACAGTTTGCTAAGCAAACTATTGGTGCCCAGCTTGCACATCTTACTAAGATATAATGGACAAGTTCACAAATCACACTGAACAAAACCCCCACAAACTAGCCATGTTATGATTCAGTGGGTTGGCAAACCCACATTTAGGAAGGAACTCAGCAAAGGTTAGGGGATCCTGAGATCATCAGAAGTTTTGTTCTATAAAACAAGACATCTTTGATGATCTGCGTTTCCCGAACATGGTGCCCTTCAGATGTTTAGGATTACAATCAAGAGTACCATACTTCAGATTGGCACTAGATGGCGGCAAGGAGTTGCAGAAAGTTCTCACTGTCGTCACCTCATGGTGGTGCAGAGTTTTGCAGCTGAGACACAATATGCTACAACTTTCAGCAAATTGTGCAATCACGGAGTTACGGAGAGAGCCTATCGAGGAAGGCCGGTCTGGCTTCTGCTCCGGCAAAAGTCCCTTTTATTCCCATTTTGATAAAAACGACAACCCCAGCGAGGCATCACGCCCACTGATGGGAAAGGCAGTGCACTCACTTGACGGACGTCCTCCAGAAACGCTGCCTTATTCCCGCTAAATGGCGGCTTTTGGGGACCACTCAAAAGTTTGCTGGCTTGCACCCTTTCGTCCTTGAGCGAAGACAAGCACCGGGCAAAAACAGCCTCCCCTTTGGATGGGAAAAAAGCCACATTATTCCTGACCACTCCGGGTTAAAGGCAAAACACCACTAAAGGCAATTTCAAACAGAACAGAGGTGTGTTCAAAAACAACTCAGATGACTCTCATAAGGAAAAACATTAAACTTCACATAACAGGAAATTGGAAACACAACGGAGCTGTATAATCAAATTGCAACTGTGTTTTCTGGTTAAACCCAGGCAGATTCCTTTCCAGAGGAGCAGCTAAGTGGTTGCAGCAAAAGGAAAAAAACTAGCTTTACTCCTTCCGACAAATGATTTAGAATAATAGCAGCCTACAGTTAACACACACACACAGAAGAAGGGCGATTTGCACCACCAGCTCAACCAGGTCATTTAAAGGCCAAGTGAGCCCTTACGGGTTAAGCTTGCTCTCGTTCACTTTTGCTAGCTTTCGGTGGCTTGGGGATTTACAATTCCCTCCCTCGTGCGCGTCAAGGCAAGGGGTCACTTCAGGATCCTATGCGTAAACATGTTCTTCCAACCCCACTGATGAGAAATAGGATTCGGGCTGGGAGGACAGAGTGAAAATCCTGCAGCTTTTTGCCAGTCATGGCGGGCACGTGGTTTTCCTCCACCCCAGCGATCACCGCTAACCCCTCCTTTGCAGAAGAAGAATGAATCGGCTTTTTTCAGGAAGTTGCAAGTCACGCTGATGATAACAGGTGGGGCAAACCCAGCAGAAATTCACCTGTTTGGCAGCGCGGCACCTCCAAAGAAAAGCCTTCCCTTATCGAGCGGATCTGAATGCTTTCGAAAGTATTTTAGTGCGGCCAGGGGGGAAAAGAACAAATAGCATTCCTAAAGAGCGGGTGTGTCCCAAGCAGAAAGGAAGGGTGTAGGGTTAATCAGAGGAAGATTTAAAAGTTCACAGGAATCTTCCTTGACGGCCCAAAAACGGGGAGATCTCCTGGCAGGCTCGCAAGAAGAGCAAATGTGCAGCCAAGGAGGCTAGTTACCTATCAGAGTAACGGGAACGCCATATTCCAGAGCAGAAATTGCTGTCCATTTCCCAGTCCCTTTCTGCCCAGCGCTGTCTCTGATTTTAGGAAGCAGGTGTTTTCCGTCGGCATCGCGGAATTTCAAGATGTCGGCTGTGATTTCGATCAGGAAGGAATCCAACTCCGTCTTATTCCAGTCCTGAAACACCTGGGTGCAAGAGGGGTGGGAGGGGGAGTCAATCCCTCCATCCCCATAGAGGCCTGCTGTCTTCAGCCCCAGATTGTTCATCTTCTCAGACTCTCCTTTCCCTTTTTTAGTAATGTTTTTAAACTGATGTTTAATGTATTTATATATATTTACGGTTTTAATGTTCTGTGTGAGTCGCCCAGAGTTCCCCCATTGGGGGGAGATGGGTGGGGGAGAAATTGAATGAATGAATGAATGAATAAATGAATGAATGAATGAATGAATGAATGAATGAATG